AAAAAAAAACAGAAATCATCAAAGGAGTTTAACAATGATTGAAATTTTAGCGTACCTTCATGTTTCTTCTATATCCCCATGAATCCCTATCCAAACTCATGCAGTTTTCCCATTTCCTTGGCAGTAGGTGCCCTAAAAACATTATTTGATTGAAGCTCTTAAGATGCTTCAGAAGTTTACACAGCAAACACACCTTGCTGATTTGAGTTTGAATTATGCCATTGGTGAACTTGAAAAATATGAGAAAGCACTTATCTTTCTATTTGCTAGAGCTGTCTTTATTGAGGATTTTTTAGTCTTGGTGCCCTTAAGTCAAAGAAAAACACCAAAGAGGTGCCTCTCTTATGGTAGAGAAATCTAACGAAAAAAGAGAAGACCAGGGGGGAACGATAAGGACAATTGTCGAGAAAGACTACAAAAGTTCACAAAAAAGTCATTGATCTCAATTGCATTATCACTCTGCCTTCTGACAGCGTTGCGAAACACGGAAGAAATTATCATTTATTTGTTTCTATAAGCGCTGGACGTATTGTGGCACGACCCTGATAACGAAGTAAGGCGCAGTGTAAAAAGAAGTGTCACAACAGTCGCAGCAAACTTATTTCAATTCTTTATTGCGACTTTCTGAGCTAGAATATTTGGAGCCCATTTAGACTGGTGGCCCCATTTTTTTTCTCCGCCCCGGTGGGCAGGGTTTCTTTGGGAAGCGAGTAGCACCCCGCTTGAGCTAGCAGTGAGCGAGCAACATATAGCTGCTGTGCCTGCCGACATGCAGCATGACCAAAATATGTTCCCTAAACGATTCCTTTTATAAATATGACTGTCCAACTGTCGACGGGTTTGCGCGGGAAGCAACAGTGGCTCAGAAGTTGACAACTGCACTTTACGAAGAAATAGGAAGAATGCATGTAGGCTGCTGTACACTGTCAAACCAGTACAGAATGTGATACATAAATACGGGCGCCGTCATTTCTAATTTCCATTTCGTGGCAGGACCAGAGTTACCGTAGTACGGCCGACTAGCAAGTTTTAAAAGTGCTGACCACTCTTCAAGTTTGACGATGTTCACCAAGTTTATTTCTGGTGTTTTGCGGATT